TCGGAACCCACTAGTAACTCCTTTCACACATACATTAAGGATCTTCTGCTAAGGACCCTTGTACAAACGAAAAATGGAAACAGATCCTGAGTTAGGACTAATGTTTTCCTATTCACACCACAAAATATATTTACACATTTTAAAAAAGATTTTATTTATTTGACAGGGAGAGAGAAAGAGAGAGAGACAGCACACAAGCAAGGGAAGTGGCAGGCAGGAGAGGGAGAAGCAGACTCCCTGCTGAGCAGAGAGCCCAAAGCAGGGCTGGATCCCAGAACCCTGGGATCACGATCTGAGCCAAAGGCAGACACTTAACTGACTAAATCACCCCAGTGCCCCTATTTACACATATTTTTTAATGTTAGTTTTGTCTTTTACAGATGAAACTTTAGACTCTTCAGTTAATTAAGACTCATTTTAATCTTATAGTGACTATCACAGTGCATTACAAAATTTGCTCTCAAATTTTGATATCATACACATACATGTAGTAAAACAGGTTACTCCTGGCCTCTCTGGGTCATTCTACATTAAGTAAATGTTTCTAGTAACTAAGTTTAAGTCTCTACATTTAAGAGTAATAAAATTAAAAGAGCAAAGAATTTTAAAAAGAGCATGAGATCTAGATATCAATCCTATGTTAAAATCCTGGTTTCAACATTTATTTGCTATTTGACACTAGACAAATTATTCCACAAGTCTAAGATTCCTTATCTGTGAAAGGAAGACTCCTTATCTGTAAAAGGTAAGATTCTTTATCTGGGGTGCCTAGATGGCTCAGATGGTTAAGCGTCTGCCTTCGGCTCAGGGCATGATCCCAGGGTCCTGGGATGAGTTCTGCATCGGGCTCCCTGCTCAGTGCAGAGCCTGCTTCTCCCTCTCCCTCTGCCATTTCCTCTGCTTGTGCTCTCTGGCTCTATCTCTCTGTCAAATAAATAAATAAAATCTTAAAAAAAAAAAAAAAGATTCTTTATCTTTTGTGTGCCAGGCACTATGTTAGGTATTGAATAATTATATTTCCCTCACAGGGACTGCTGTGAAGATTAAATAATATATATAAAAATAATTTTGTAAACTGAAAGCACTACACAAATGTCATTACTATATCTGAAGGAAATCTTTCTAGATTATCTTCCCCTTCTTTCAAAAATAAACATACTGAAGAATCACCTTTTTTTTCTTTTTTTTTTTTTTAAAGATTTTATTTATTTATTTGAGACAGAAAGAATGAGAGAGAGAGAGAGCACATGAGAGGGGGGAGGGTCAGAGGGAGAAGCAGGCTCCCTGCTGAGCAGCGAGCCCGATGCGGGACTCGATCCAGGGACTCCAGGATCATGACCTGAGCCGAAAGCAGTCGCTTAACGAACTAAGCCACCCAGGCGCCCTCACCTATCTTTTTTCCATGACCAATAATTGTACTTGCTACAATGTATTTAAGCTAAATCTTCCTTTACTGTCATACTATCCACCTGGGTTGTTAGTCTGCAGCCTGTGCCCTTCAGATTATTAATTCTTAATTTGTTATGGTTAAAGAACCAAGGTAATTAGAACCATGTACATTTAAGAATATGCTGCAGGTTATCTACACTGATGTGGGTGCTATCCAGATATATCTGTGGGAGGAGGTAAGCTTAGTATCCTCCTACGCTATCATCTTTCTCAGTACTCCCATTTAAGAATATGCTCTAAATGAGGGTTCCTCAAGGGCTTTTTTTTTTTTTAATTTACTAGAGAGAGAGAAAGAGAGCAAGACAGAGAGAGAGCATGAGCAGGGAGCAGAGGAAGAGGGAGAAGCAGACTCCCTGCTGAGCAGGGAGCCAGATGCGGGGCTCAATCCCAGGACCCCAAGATCATGACCTGAGCAGAAGGCAGACATTTAACCGACTGAGCTACCCAGGCATCCCAAAGGCTTCTTTCAAGGACTAAAGTACAGAAGCCTAAATGCAAGGATTTTGCCCCAAAGCATTTTTTATTTCTTTCTGGTTTAGGCTATAGACAGCTGAGGTGACCAGCAATGTGACCTCCAGAGAAGTGGGGTACGGCTCGGGGAATATAAGTCCTTAGTCACCTAGAAAGTCTAGTTGACTGTTCAAGGATGCAATCCATTATGTTTCAAAAGGTATTACTCTTTTTTTTTCCCCCAAAAGGCATTACTCTTTTCAATTTAATCCCAAAACAGAAGGCTAAATATGTCAAGGTGCATCAATTTAGATTAGGTACACAATATAACACAGAGGCATTACATTAGATGGCAAATATCTTATTCTGATTCCTAGCTCTTAAACACACACTTCTTGGAAAACTTTTAGCACCATGACACAGAATAAGCAATGACTATGACAAGAGAATCAAAGATCCCAGTAAGTAAAACTCTTTAGCACTGGGCTTATTTTAATAAAAACTACTACCAATACCATTACTCCTTTGAATTGGGAAAATAAGAAAAAAATTTGAATGTAAGTAAGTTAAGATTTTCTAAAATCATTATGTTATTAGAAAAAATATTATCAATTCTAAGTGTTCATAGAACTTTTTTCCATTTTATTATGAAAATGTTCAAATACACAGAAAAATTGATGGAACAACTTTTTAAAATTGTGACAAGAACTGGCAGTATGTTCTTTTGCATATTGTCAGTAGTATCTACTCTTTTTTGTTTTTCAATTTTTTATATTTTCATTATTATCTATCTTAATCTACATCTGACAAATTCATAAGTTGAATTTCAAACTTGTCATGTAACATACAACACAGCCTAGAAATACTATAAGGCTTTTTTTCACAGATTGCTTTTTTAATTTTTATTTTTACTACTGAAGTATAGTTGACATACACTGTTATATTAGCTTCAGGTAAGTACTATCTACTCTTGTCTCTTTTGCAAAGAGATTAATTCAGAACAGTTTTTGGGGAATGAGGCAGGAAATAACATTGGGGTAATACAAATGGGGACAGCAAGTTATTTCTCTGACCCTCAGTTTCCTCATCTTGAAAAGAAGAGGTAGAAAACACATTCTGATGACACTACTCCGGAGGGTAATTTTTAGTTACACTTACTTAAAAACTACTTCCATTATTTTACCCATATAAAGCATTTGCCACAGAGCTAGTATATAATAACAAGTATCTAATAAATGTTAGCTGCTATTATTAGCTATCAGTAGTTATAGTTCAAAAAGAATCTATATAATAACAAGTATCTAATAAATGTTAGCTGCGATTATTAGCTATCAGTAGTTACAGTTCAAAAAGAATCTGGCAAATTAAGACGTTATTTATTTATTTTTTAAAGATTTTACTTATTTATTTGACAGAGAGAGACACAGCGAGAGAAGGAACACAAGCAAGGGGAGTGGGAGAGGGAGAAGCAGGCTTCCTGCAGAGCAGAGAGCCCGATGCAGGGCTCGATCTCAGGACCCCGGGACCACGACCCAAGCTGAAGGCAGATGCCCAACGACTGAGCCACCCAGGCGCCCCAAATTAAGACTTTAGTTAACATTTACTTTTTTTTTTTTAACATTTACTTTTTTGATTTACAAGATTAGTTATATGTATATATATTTAAATTGAATATGTTGGGCATAGTCATTAAATTGAGACCAGAAAGAAATGAAAGCACTGACATAATCTCTTAAATTATTGTGCAGCTTTGTAAGGGACCTTTAACTTTACCATATGTAGTACCTATTGATATTAACCCAGTTCCTTTGGCAGGCTGAATTCAAAGAGACTACAGACTTGAGCAACTTAGTGAAAACCAAGGAATTCAAACATCTTCCAAAATTATTCCAAAATGCCTCAATTATACCCTTATTTCTCCCACCCTTCCTTGGAATGCATTATCTGGATTCATACTTTATATATATATAAAGCCACAGCAAAAGTGTACAGCTTATCTGGCATCTAGGAACAGGAATATCTCTAATGTGGATGTAGGAAGATTGTGTGGCAGTGAAAACAGCACAGATTTGGAATCAGACAGACTTTCATTTGAACTAGGACTCTACCATTTACTAGCATTATGACCTTTAACAAGTTACTTCTCTGAATCAGTTTCCTTATCTGTATATGAATGGGATAATAATGGTTATTTTATAGGGTTTTTGAGAAAATTCAAGGAAAGCATAAAATGCCTGGCACGTAACAATCAGTAAATGATATTATTATTGTCACATATTCATTCTATTTTATAGTTGTGGACAAATTATATTTCCTACTTGAAAGAGTTTATAAACCAGAAATTAAAAAGGCATTATGTATTTCAACTTAAAACTTAATCAGAAACAACAAAAATCCTCTACATAAACAGAATTCCACAGATAAGACTTTCCCAATTTATTTTCAAAATTTGTTTTTGAAAACTGAAGTATTAAATTAGCTATGCTTTCCCAATTCAAAGATCAAAAGCAGAAACTTGTTTTTCCATAATTGTATTTATTTTTCCCACTGCCAAATGAAGATGTAAGGTATTTTATACCAGCAAACTTCTAATATTTGATTTTTTTTTTAAAGATTTTATTTATTTATTTGACAGAGACATAGAGAGCACAAGTAGGCAGAGTGGCAGGCAGAGGGAGAGGGAGAAGCAGGCTCTCCGCCGAGCAGGGAGCCAGACATGGGGCTTGATCCCAGGACCCTAGGATCATGACCCGAGCCGAAGGCAGCCGCTTAACCGACTGAGCCACCCAGGCGCCCCTATACCAGCAAACGTCTAAACGGATATTTTGAAAGATAAGTTATTTTTGCCATGGGAAAGGCAAAAGAAAAAAAAAGAAGAAGAAGAAAGAAAAAAAGCAATTTTCCTAAATTAGAAAAGAAAAATGCTTATTCCAAATTACATAGTAAGTATCAGAACAGGCAAAAATAAATGAATTCCTTTTCCTGGAATCAGACTCATCTGGCCTTTTCTAAGAAAATAATTAAATGGCCACAGCAGCACTTCAAAATCCAATGCCAATTAACAGCACATAATTCTTATTTCCTCTGCTTATTTTTTTTACCATGAAAAGCCATGGTCTGAAGCAGTCGATCAGCCACTTCCTGTGGGAATACTCCAGGTTCCTGTAGACACAACGTTCCATCTTGTCTTGCTGAACAGAACTTCTCAAGGTGAGTAGTCAGGAAATTCAAGCAGATATCAAGTAAGGAATAGGGAGATGCTTCCTCCTTGGAGCCCAGGAAAAAACATAAAGGGAACACAAAAGCCAACAAGTTAGTTTCCAGAAAAGTAGAAAACAAAACATTCATTTACACATTCAACAAGTATTTTTACTCAGTGTCTACCATATGTTAGATACTGTGTTAGGCAGTGGGAATATAATAGGTAACCCATGTTCTCAAGAAGAAGAGAAACATTTAAACAAGTATTTACATAAAGTACATTACATACAATATTAGAGGTCATACTGAGTAGTATGTAAGTACAAGCAGGGTGCCCTAATCAGTCAAGGATGGTCAGGGAAGACCTCAGAGGTATAGCAGATTAATCTTCCTAAATTACTACCCATGACCCTCCCCTGTTCAAACCTTCCACAGACTTCCATGGGCCTGAAGACAAAAAATAAATTCTTAGATTGTTAGACTGATGCCTGAGTCCTTTCAAAATCTAGACCAAATTTACTCTCAAACTTGTCTCTCACAAAATCCCCATCCCAATCTGATAATTCAAATATGATGAATTTGTTTGGGCAAAAGAATTTGCTATAGGTGTTAACATCCTCAAAATAGAAAAAGGTTAACCCTGCTATTCCAGTCTGAGGAATAAAGAACTAATCAAATAAGCACAAAGATTTAAGTGTAAGGGTTTTAACTATAGAAACAAATACTGTAAATGTCCCCAATAATAATATAATTAAAATATAATTATAGTAGCTATCATCCATTAGGTGCTTTCTTTATGACTGTGCTGAGTATCTTACATGAATTATCCACTAGTTCGGTGATGCCTTTGTTAATTTCCCAAGGCAGAATTTTACTCTCAGCACCTGACAAATTAAATTGCACATAACAACAGCTATTAGGTACTGAATGACAGCTATGTGGTACTAGGCACTAATCTAGCTTCTTTATATATACTTGCAATCTTCAAAAGTTTGTTTTGAACAAGGCAGATAAACAGGCTCAGAGGGGTGCCTGGGTGGCTCAGTCCATTAAGCCTCTGCCTTCAGCTTGGGTCATGATCTCTGGGTCCTGGGATGGAGCCCCACTTCGGGATCCCTGCTTAGCAGGGAGCCTGCTTCTGCTTCTCCCTCTCCCTCTGCTGCTCCCACTGCTTGTGCTCTCTCACTCTGTGAAATAAATAAATAAAATCTTAAAAACAAAACAAAACTGCGGCTCAGAAAAAATAATTCACATGTCAAAGATAAACAGCCAGCAAATGGCAGAGCAAGAATAAAAATTAAAACAGCTATTTTTCGGGGTGCCTGGGTGGCTCAGTCGGCTAAGCGTCTGCCTTCGGCTCAGGTCGTGATCTCAGGGTCCTGGGATCGAGCCCCACATCGGGCTCCCTGCTCTGTGGGAAGCCTGCTTCTCCCTCCCCCACTCCCCCTGCTTGTGTTCCCTCTCTCGCTGTGTCTCTGTCAAATAAATAAATAAAATCTTTAAAAAAAAAAAAAAAAAACCGCTATTTTTCATGAAACACTAAGCCTCAGGTCCCGGTTCAGAGTTCTTTAGATACATGAGTTCTTTCAATTTTTACATCCTATGAATCAAGCACCATTATAATATGCATTTTAAAAATGAAACTGAGGTTTAGGTTAAATATCTTCCTTATATTTACATGGCCAATATGTTGCTAAACTGGGACTCCCAAAATAAGAATGAGGCCACAGCCTGTATTTTTAAGTTTTTAACCACTATGCTATCATAATATTATAATCATAATTATTGAGCTCATACTACTTAACATACGCTATATGCTATAAACTATGTTAAACACCTTACATATATAATTTCATTTACTTCTCATAAAAATTCTATAAGTTAAATTCTTTCAGTATCCCCATTCTACAAAGATGAGGATACTGAAGTTTTGAGGGGTTAAGTAATTTACCTATGATGATACAGCTAAGAAGTAGCAGAGCCAGAATTAGACCCCAGGCAATCTGACTGTAGAGTTCAGTTTGTGCTTTAATAAATCACTACAGTGGCTGCCATTTATATCTGACTCCAAATCTAGGTTTCTTTTACAATCCCATGTTAATCACAGTTTTTTATGACTGTATGTCTCCCCAACTAGACCATGATGTTCTTCAAGTTCAAGGAACCTATTAACGCTTTCTTTATATCCCTAGCACCCAGCATAGTCTCTGACATTTGCCGGTTCAAAAAAAAGGAGTTCAAATTAGAAGACTACTAAAGGGACTTGCCCCGTGTCACAATATTTCTAAGAAGTGGGGCCAAGGAATGCCTGGGTGGCTCAGTCAGTTAAGGGTCTGCCTTCGGCTCATGGCATGATCTTGGGGTCCTGGGATCGAGCCCCGTGGCAGGCTTCCTGCCCGGCAGGGAGTCTGCTTCTCCCCCATCCCCTTCATGTTCTCTCAAATAAATAAATAAAATCTTAAAAAAAAAAAAAAAGTGGGGCGAAGACACAACCCAGATCTTTGATAATGAAGTCCATACCTTTTCCACTATACCATACCATCTCTCAGAACAATTATTAGTTTGGCACTAATATAAATTCCAAAAAACAATTTGGGGACCAGTTGGTTGTTATGATGGCTCAGACATGAGGTGTTGATGCCGTGGATTAGGGTAGAGGCAATGAACTTGGAAAAAAAATCAAAAGTGAAAAATAATTTGAGGGAATAATTAACAACATGTAGTAAGCATTTCTGAATCCCCAGTACCAAGCACAATGCCTGGCACTCTACTAAACAGGCGAATGTTATTTGAAGGACAGGCCAACATTCATACAGCATACTTTTGCCATATATTATCTCATCTAGCCCTCACAACAGTCTTGTGGAGCTGGTATAGTAGACACCATTTTGTATAGGAGAGTACCAGAGCTCAAAAAGAATAAAAGACTCAAATTCATCCAGTTAGAATGTGAAAGAATTGAGCCAAGGTATCAAGGTATTTAATCCCAAACATTACACCCTTTTTCTCATTTCATATAGCACCCTCTGGTGAGAGAGGAAGGGAGGTGGAGGAAGGGAAGCTGAGATATTAAAAAAAATAATAACTCCAAGATTTAAAGTAGGAGTTAACCAGGGTAACCTGGGAGAAAAAGTGTGTGTGTGTGTGTGTGTAGCAAGAGAGGAGCACAATAAAGCACATGGGATAAAATGCTAAACGTTTGGACAATTTTCATGACTGCTATGTGAGAATTCTTTGTATTATTTTTGCAACTTTTTATAAGTCTGAAATTGTCAAAATAAAAAGTTAGAAAATAAAAATAAAAAATAGTGGATATGGAATACTTCCATAATCTCACTGACAAAACTGATAAGAAGACTAGGCAAAGGATTATTTCTTCAGAGGAATTTGCTGTAGTCAATGAGAGTCTGTCTGTTCAGGCAAGGACAGAAAAGGAACTAAGGCTCTGGTGAAAGAACTGAACTGAATATGCAGATTTAAATAGCATCCCCTAGTGGTGACAGTTGAATGGTAAGAATAGATAAATTCTCAGAGGGAGTGATCAGGAGAGGTAACTAAGCCCTGTAATTAACTATCACAAGTACAGGGGGCAGAATGACATGGTCCCTGAACAATGGCTGAAAAAAATACCCTACGGCAAATAGGAAAAACAACAATTCCAGTATGAAACAACAGTGCAGATCTTTTTAATTTTTTTTTTAGTTAATGTGTTTTCTGGAACAGGATATAATCCTGACAGTGAATTATTCAAATAAAGTTTTTCCAGACTGGTCCTCTCAAATACTGCTGGTCAGAGTGTAAACTGGCACAATTTTTCTGGATATGAAAGATTTAATAATCATAAAAACATCCACACTCTTGATCCAGTACTTCTTCATTAGGTAGAATTTACCTAAAAATGGTAAATAATCATAGATATTTACAAAGGTATTTACATAAAGGGATTGATTACAGTTTTTCTGATCAAAAAAAAAAAATCCACACATACAAATGTCTAAAATAAGAGAAAATGATAAGCAAATCATGGTATATCAATTCTATATAATATTACACAGCAATATGTATGTTTCTGAATAGCTTCTAATGACATAGCAAAATGTTAAGAGTAAAATATTACTAAGCTAAATAAAAACTGTATGTAGCAGGATTTCAATTAAACATCTACACAGTCATAGGAAATTATAGTGCCTGAAGAATGTTTCAGAAGCTTAGAAAGCTACCTCTAAACTAAATATGTTGTGGTGTATCTATAGAGAAGAACAAGGGAAAGAAATGAAATAAAAAAGGATAGAGGATACCTCGAGGTTAGGGGGATGTGGCACAGAGGAACACATGGGGGAAAAAATTGCAGTGGTCATGTTCTATTTCTCAAGTTGGGATGCCAGGTTTTTAGATATTGGGTTTTTTTTTAAAGATTTTATTTATTTAGATATTGGTTTATTATGTTCCATGACTTATATAAATGTTCATATGGCTTTTTGAATATATCAAATTATTAAAAATGGAAAAAGACAAAAAATAAAAATTAGTGGAAATGAAAAAAAAGCTGTTTCTGTTTTTTTAAGATTTTATTTATTTATTTGACGGGTCAGGGGGGAGAGCAAGCACAAACGGGGGAGCAGCAGGCAGAGGGAGAAGCAGGCTTCCCGCTGAGCAAGGAGCCTGATGTGGGGCTCGATCCCAGGACCCTGGGATCACAACCAGAGCCGAAGGCAGTCGCTTAATGGACTGAGCCAACCATGTGTCCCTGTTTCTGCTTTTCAAATATTATAAGATAACCAAGAAACTATCATTTATTTTATCAAAGATATTTTTCAGTATGTGTATTCAAACTAAAATAGACATTTTTATTAGACTCAGTAACATTTTAATTTTGTTTTCTTTTTCTTCTTTTAAAGATTTTATTTATTTGACAGAGAGAGAACACAAGCAGGGGGAGTGGGAGAGGGAGAAGCAGGCTTCCTGTAGAGCAAGGAGCCCGATGCGGGGCTGGATCCCATGACCCTGGGACCATGACCTGAGCCGAAGGCAGACGCTTAACAACTGAGCCACCCAGGCGCCCCAAC